AGAAATGACCGAGCGATTTCACCCTCGCTAAGAGACGCTTATTTGGTGGAGGTTAAGAGCAACTAATTCAGATGATGATCAGTTGACTGAATGAGAAGATCAGTTCCACTGCATTAATGAAGGAGCAGTTTACTATAACAACCCAAGAATAGCGGCGAACAGCTCGCTACAAAGTGACACATCGCCGTGTTAATAATCGTAATGGATCTCGATTTCAGATGGCCTGGGGTAAAAGCTCGGAAATGGGATGTGGTGTGACATCTTGTCCAATGACGGACTCGCAAATGAAATCTTACATTTTCATTGTTTGTCTTTACAGAGATATGTAAGTTGTATTTAACCCCTTGCAAATATTATTTCAAATCCATTCATTACTTTTGATTTGATACAAATCGCTTGGCTGTTTGTTTGACTGGACTTAGCTAACTATTTCAAAATAAATATGATCGGTCAATATCATCATATATGGCTTGATATCAATGTCATGATGATACTGCTACGCTAACAACTAAACTTAAACAAATTATGGTGATATGACTGAGGACTCGATCTAGTGAAACTAAGCAATTCCTCAATAACAGCAACAAGTGATATTACTAGCTTATCTCATATCGGAGATCTGCGAAGAGGATGTAATAATATCACTGAGGATGCTGAAGAAATGGAGGGTTATAATAACTGTGAAGGAATGAGTTCATTAAAAGTAAATGAAATTGTTTGCTGATCGGACGGAATCATCTTGCAGTGGAAACTGCTACAACGAGCAATTCTATGACTTCGGAAATGGATGTCAACGTGATTCGGACTGTACAACGTTCCCCGGATCGAAATGTGAACGAGACACTAATCTTTGCATTGCACCGTTAGTTATTTCACAGAATGTCGAACTGAATCAATTTTCTAAAGATTCAATGCATTGTCATCGAATTCAGACCAAATAAATGATAGTTCGCTAATAACATTAACTCAGTTATATACTTTCGAATTCAAATCACCGAGTTTCGCTCTCTTCCAGTGAAACGAGTAATATTCCGTTTACTTCAGAGGACATTGAAGCAACCGATAATTGACCAACGCAGGCAGATAGATGAGCACAAATTTGGTTGCAAATTAAACGCACATCAAAAACCTCAAATGTCAATCGACAGTTGACAGTCGTTAATGTGGAATGTTCACTACTTTTTATTCTGATAATCCTGTTGAATCCACTTCAAACCATTCTCTGATCCGATCATCGCTTTTTCAATGTTTCATCTCCTTATCACTACTTCCAATGTTACGCTTCCTGGCGTTTACTTATCTCATTGTGGAATTTTCATTATGCATATTTACGAGTATTGCAACCAAACAAGCGTTGAATCATTTGTCCTTATTATTCTTGATCAATGCTATTGCTAATAAAATTCCCCTGGCAAATGTGTCATTTCATCGGATATTTTGTCGTGATGATAAAAAACTTATATCGTTCAATCAGAACTGTGCTCTTGAATCAGTCACTGAATCTGTGTTAAATGCTGAATTTAATGTGCTAAACGATTCGAATCGAAATCAACATTTCACAAGCATATGGAAAGTTTCAGTGAAACTTGACGGATACTTCTTCAGAAACGAATAAAATATCGGCAATCCGAATTGATTCAATTGAATTTTCATTCAATGTGAAGATATTTTAGAATGCGATCATTCAATACCAACAGCTTACTTACTTCCAAACAACGAATGGTAGTTGAATAAGCATTGTGATTTGTCTCTACTCGAATCTACCCGTAAGAAACTGTCGTTCCACATTACTTCGATCCGGTTCTGCCTCACCAAATGGAATGACAAGTAATTGAG